AGGTTCCATTTTGGTCAGGGATCTAGATTAGGTGATGAGTCCTGGACTTTGGCACTCAGTCTTCGCAAAACTGGGGGACGCTGAGGAGGTGTCCCGTGGAGGAGGAGGAGCGTCCCGGAGTTTTAAGCCCAGCCTTTCCAGAAGAGACTGAAGCACCTCCCACTTCTGGATGCTCTTCACAGCTCACAGAGAACGGGCGTATCAGGTAAGTACCAACACCCTTTTTAATATTTATATGTTATTGTGCTTTACTAATCTAGATGAAATGTTAATACAGTGCTCAAAAAAATAAAGGGAACACAAAAATAAGATATCCTAGATCTGAATGAATGAAATATTCTTATTAAATACTTCATTCATTACATAGTTGAATGTGCTGACAACAAAATCACACAAAAATTATCAATGGAAATCAAATTGAGCAACCCATGGAGGTCTGGATTTGGAGTTACACTCAAAATTAAAGTGGAAAAAAACACTACAGGCTGATCCAACTTTGATGTAATGTCCTTAAAACAAGTCAAAATGAGGCTCAGTAGTGTGTGTAGCCTCCACGTGCCTGTATGACCTCCCTACAATGCCTGGGCATGCTCCTGATGAGGTGGCAGATGGTCTCCTGAGGGATCTTCTCCCACACCTGAACTAAAGCATCCCCCAACTCCTGGACAATCTATGGTGCAACGTGCCATTTATGGATGGAGCGAGACATGATTTCCCAGATGTGCTCAGTTGGATTCAGGTCTGGGGAACGGGTGGGCCAGTCCATAGCATCAATGCCTTCGTCTTGCAGGAACTGCTGATGTACTCCAGCCACATGAGATCTAGCAGTATCGTGCATTAGGAGGAACCCAGGGCCAACCGCACCAGCATATGGTCTCACAAGGGGTCTTAGGATCTCATCTCGGTACCTAATGGCAGTCAGGCTACCTTGGCGAGCACATGGAGGGCTGTGCAGCCCCCTAAAGAAATGTCACCCTACACCATTACTGACCCACTGCCAAACTGGTCATGCTGGAGAATGTTGCAGGCAGCAGAATGTCCTCCACGGCGTCTCCAGACCCTGTCACGTCTGTCACATGTGCTCAGTGTGAATCTGCTTTCATCTGTGAAGAGCACAAGGCGCCAGTGGTGAATTTGCCAATCTTGGTGTTCTCTGGCAAATGCCAAACATCCTGCACAATGTTGGGCTGTAAGCACACACCCCACCTGTGGACGTTGGACCCTCATACCACCCTCATGGAGTCTGTTTCTGACTGTTTGAGCAGCCACATGCACATTTTGGCCCACTGGAGGTCATTTTGCAGGACTCTGGCAGTGCTCCTCCTGTCCCTCCTTGCACAAAGGCGGAGGTAGCAGTCCTGATGCTGGGCTGTTGCTTTCCTACGGCCTCCTCCCTGTCTCCTGATGTACTGGCCTGTCTCCTGGTGGCGCCTCCATGCTCTGGACACTACGCTGACAGACACAGCAAACCTTCTTGCCACAGCTCGCATTGATGTGCCATCCTGGATGAACTGCACGACCTGAGCCACTTGTGTAGGTTGTGGACTCCGTCTCATGTTACCACTAGAGTGAAAGCACCGCCAGCATTCAAAAGTGACCAAATCATCAGCCAGAAAGCATAGGAACTGAGAAGTGGTCTGTGGTCACCACCTGCAGAACCACTCCTTTATTGGGGATGTCTTGCGAACTGCCTATGCTTTCCACCTGTTGTCTATTCCATTTGCACAACAGCATGTGAAATTGATTGTCAATCAGTGTTGCTACCTAAGTGGACAGTTTGATTTCACAGAAGTGTGACTGACTTGGAGTTACATTGTGTTGTTTAAGTGTTCCCTTTATTTTTTGAGCAGTATATATATTGCTAGTCCATCTATGATATGCTATACACTAAATAAATAAATGTATTTCCATTAATTAATATGCTTCTCTAAAACATTTATTGGTCTATAACTCAAAGGAAAACTATTTTATTGTTTATAGAAATAATAGTGTACATATTAGATTAAGAGAGTTCGGTGTTGAGGAACAGTTTAAAACAATGGATAATTTTATAACTTTTATATAGAAGAGGCTTGTTTGTATTTGCTTGCTTAAAGGAAGTGGCTCTGTGCCTTTGCCTATCCCATCTTTTCCCTTTTAGTACAAAATCGAGTTAATTTTTCAAAATGTTAGAATAAATGTTAGAATCCAAGTGAATTAAAAAGGATATGTGCATCAGCAACAAGACTAACAATCTTTATTACAGTTTGGAGTGTTTTACCTTAGGATGTAAAATAAAATTATCATGGATCACTATAGGAGCATGTTTGCAAAATCCATCAACATGGATTTGCTCAGTGGACAACAGCACTGAAGAGAGTTCACTAGTATTTGTCTTCCACTAATCAAAAGTCGGCATTAGAAACCTTAAGTTTGTTCAAGAGAGATAATCCTGAAAATTGCATACTCAAAATAAACAGGAGTGATATTAAAAGGCCATTAAGGAAGTATTTCTTGTTATTCTTTTTTTTTCAATTCCAGTATTCTTTATTTTTTTCAAGACTTCTATTTATTTATAGGATTTATATGGCCGCCTATCTCATAAATGAGATAGCTCTCAACAATCCATAAAATATAATTAGAAACATACCCCCCCACCCCCCACCCCGAGCTAGACTAAACCTTCTCACAGTTCAAGCCCGCATGTTGGACCAATGCTTAGGGGAAAGCTAGGTCTTCATATATCTCCCAAAGTCTAAAAAAGTAGGGGATCCCACTGATTTCTGGTGGGAGATTGTTCCAAAGGCCTGGGGCAGCCACTGAGAAGACATGCCTCCAAGTTAAATTGCAGCATTGAAGGAGAGAACTGGAACATACTCACCCTATCTAATCTAGTAGGAGGAACAGATATCCTTGGGAGAGGTAGTCCCAGAAGTAACCCAAGCCAATTGTTCATATCCCATGCAGAGATTCTTCTTACTCTCCCCAATGTGTGTGAACTCCAGGCAGAACACACAAATGTCCTAAGTTATGCCTCCCCAACAATGTGCTGCTGCATTCGTGTTCTTGCAGCCCTGTCACAGGCATTATTATATTCCCTGAGTGGATTTTTGCATATAGGCACAACTGGTCCTGTGCAGAGATTTTCTCCCAGTCTACCTGCAGATTCTATTGATTTAACACTTGATTTGGAGTTCCCTGGTCTCAGGAAAAGATACAGCTGCTTTAAAGTGAAAAGGAGGGCTGAGAGAAATGGCAGAGAAGAGTTTCTAATTTAGGATGATCTCAGTCATAGCTGGGTCTTTGAACCAGTGCATTGTATTAGTGTCTTCCAACAGTGAGGCTGCTACTTCTTTTACTTCTTTTTCAGCTTTTTGTATGTTACCCTTCAGATATATGGGTCAATGATTTTGTCAGAAAAGGCATGTTGTGAGAAAGAAACATGTCTCTCTCCAGTCTGAATTAATGTAGACAAAACCGTATTTGTCTTAGCATGTGCATAGCCTCTAGGAGAAAACCATATAAACATGCCTATTCTCTATAAATATATGTTTACTCTTCTGTTGGGAATAAGTAGCATTCAAGTAATTGCAAGCATTTTCAGGAGATATTTGCATTTTAAATAGGGCCTAGAGTATGTCTTCCATTCTAAAGAACTATTTCTTTAGATTTCTACACTTTCCATGATTTGATCCAGCATGAGTCTGGAACAGAGAAAAACATTCCAGAGACTCTTTCCCTCCAGTCCCAAGACAGATGAAAAGAAAAGAATGCCAAAGCAGTTAAATCTGGAAAGAAACTTCTCTTTCCCAGAGAAAACAAAAACAACTTCGACTCAGCTGCTTGCCAAGAGGCTGAATTTGCTACTCTTTCAGTCTTTCTCTCTCCCAAAACCTTGGTGGCTGAGGAGAGGCAGGCATAATTCTCTTTCTATTGAAAGAGCACCATACTGAGAGGGGTTGAGAGAAATGTCCCAAAACTCCAGTCACTTGATAATTCCTGAGGACATTCCTCAGGGCTACACCTTCAGCTGCACACAAACATATGTATGAATGCATACAATAGCACATATATGCACATGGATATATTACTCTTGCACATACACATCCTCTCTCTCCCCCAACAGATTGCTATGTTTTGTTCCCAATATGGTTTGTAGTGCTTTTTAACCTTTTTCATTTAGAAAGAAAAGATCTGATTCATCTCTTTTACTTCCCCCCACTCTTTAAGTCCACAAGTCTTAAAGCTGTCAAGTTTGAAGACCCCTGGCTTAGAAGGAGTGACTGTCCCAAAGTTATCCAGCTACCTTTTTCATACTGAAGGAGAGACTTAGAGCTCAAGTTCCACCATTCCTAGTCCAGCATCTTAATCACTAAATCAATCTGGTTTTACTCCTAGTGAAATTCAAACTGATCAAGTGAAAAGCAAGCTCCCACCACACTCTGCCAGAGACTTTATGTGGGTCATAGAATCTCAATTTAGTCATCCCTGCTTTTAAGTGATAATGTAAAGCTTCTGATTTACCTGCTATATTTGTGCATTGCTAACCATAGATGAAGATAGAAACTAAAGGAACAGAAAAGTTTTAATTCCCCATTGGCATAACTATTTTGAAGCCTCCTTTTTGTAAAGATCTTTTTCTATGTGAGCATTTCTGCTGCAAAACTTCTCTCCTTTGTAGAAGATTTAAACATGTATCTTCGGTATTCATGACATTTCAACAGATCTTTTAAACCTTGCTAGAATCTAAATAAATAATATACTATTATTTTTTACAGTGCTGTGCTATAGTGGAAAACATAGTAGATAAATACCCAATAAAGAGGACTCCTCACTGAGAATCTCTAACAGATTTCTGAGAAATCTCAGGACTCTGACAGGTTTCCAAATAACTGTCAAACTATTTTATTTCAGTTTCTTCCAAATTAATATTTCATGGAAATTATGGATATGGTTTAGATTTATTCCTTCACATGTAACCAATTCATTAATAATGACTTATCTCCTTGTAATTTTCACAGGAGGCTACTATTTGACAAGTGCATATGGAGCACTGTCCTTAATTAAGAATTTCCAAGAAGAGCAAGCGGCCAGGCTGTTGTGTTCAGAGGCCAGAAATACTCTCAGGCAGTGGCATAAGCGGAGAACAACAAACAGAACAATCCCATCTGTTGATGATTTTCAGGTATCATTTATGTTTCCCAGAAAATGATATTTTCCTGTTTAGGACAAGATAGAAGATTGGTGTTATAGAGCGCAGAGCACAGTACAGATTATTTCCTCTGGCTGACATTAGTTAAGTAAACCTTCCTTTGAAAAAATCAAATGCAACATATCAGTTACATTCAGAATTAAAAATGGGGAGAAAGATTTCACTCAACTTACAAAATACATACAAGAGATGCATGTGGTCTTATCCTAAGTCTTGGCCTAATGACTGCAACTAGGACTATCAAAACCGCCAATACTAAGGAGTGAGATCATGGGATATTTTTCTTATTAACCACATTGGACACTGATGGAAATTTCAGTCCCAGTTAGGGCTGTTAAGTGAGGATTACCTGTATTATAAGGGCAAATTGTATTCTAGCATGCATACTTTGCACTTCTTTCCTCACTTCTTTATCAACTCCTTCCTTCCTCCTCTTTTTTTTCCTGAACCTAACATATGTTCCCTCAGAGTCTTTGCAATGCTCATTTGCATATTAATATTATGCAACACCACTCTGAATAATATCTTCCTATTTTGATGATGATAGTGATGACAACAACAACAACAATAATACCCTTGTTTGTACTGGTGCAAAATGCAGCATTGGATGCTTTGTTCCCGAGTATACATTTTAATTTTTTCCATATATTTTCCCCCTCCCCAGAACTACCTACGAGTTGCATTCCAGGAAATCAACAGTGGCTGCACAGGAAAAACATTGCTAGTGAGGCCATATATTACTACAGAAGATGTGTGTCAGCTCTGTGCTGAGAAGTTTAAAGTGGATAATCCTGAGAACTTTAGCCTGTTTCTTTTTATTGATGACACTTGGCAACAACTGACAGAAGATACCTATCCCCAAAAAATCAAAGCTGAACTGCACAGTCGGCCACAGCCTCAGGTCTTCCATTTTGTGTATAAACGCATCAACAGTGATCCTTATGGGGCAATATTCCAGAATGACAACCGTGACCAAAATACATAAAAGCTAATTATTTTAATTGTTATATAAACTGACTGGGAGTTGAAATTAAATGATCATATTCTCTAAACCCTACTGATTAGTAAAAGTATGAATGATGAATTACCATCAGTGATTAAACATAGTCTACAAAAAATATCGTGATCCAGCTTTACAGGCTCTTTGAAAGCAAAATATAGCATTCACCAATTGTAACCTGGCACTGTGGCTTCTCAGATGTTCTGCAGTGCCATCGTTTGCAGATCTGTAGAGGGTTTTATTCATATCTTTATTTTATGCATTATTTTCCATTGCATATGCAGTGGATCCAACTTCTTTTAAACTAACTGTTAGGTTGACCATTTAATCAGTGTATAAATGCATTATTTTCCGATGCAGAGCATCAGTAAAAATATGGATAACTGCCTTTTTTTACAAATAGTTGCTTTATTATTATTTTATTGAAAGCAACTTTTTATATATATTTCAAGAAATTTTATAGCAGTTGCAGGTAAACTGTCATGTTTGTAAAGTATTTTTTTAATGATAAAATATTCTATAATTATGCATGTGATTTTAACACAAAATAGAAAATAAATCTCTTGCTGGTTTTAGAGTAAGTGATGTTTTTTATTTAATTATGTATTCATATCTAGCTTTCTAAAATGTCAAACCATATTTTAAAAAATGATTTTGTAAGCAGCTTATTTTCAGAATTGGTTATTCAGATTTCAGTTATAAGATGGTTATGTCCGACAGTCATGTTTTTGGAAAAGATGGATATATCAGTTAGGTTTGTCAAAAAAAGAGAGTAGGTTTGGTTTAAGAATCACATATATTAGGGAAGAAGAAAATTGAAGAAATTACTTGGATAAGCAGTGAAACATTTCAAATTAAAAAAGAAAAGAAGTCCATTTGCCATGACTCAACTTCCAGGCATAGAGTAGGGAAATGTTGAGAATCAGTAGAGTTTTTTTGGTCTTTATTTATTTTCTTTTTCTCCTGAGTAGCTCAATACATATTTGCAGAATTGTGTTTTAGTTTTCAGGACAATCTGTCACTGTATCAAACATATTGTGAAACTATATTTGGTCTGACGTATAAGACTTCTTCTAAAACATGAAGAAATTTGTGAACTAATCATTTTTATTTTCAAAACAGTATGGCTGTAGAAATACCGCTTAGACATCTGTTGTGTTAAAGACAGCAGGAAAATAAGTTGATCAGTTAAAGGTTTTGTCAACATTCAGAAGCAAGCACCACTATTAAAACTGTAAATTTTGCTTTCAGTAGGAATTTTGATAGAAATTGTACTCTTCTACTTAAATATATGAGTGAAGAATTTGCATTAATCTGTACATTTAGCAGATTTATCAAGGTAAGAGGTGACAGAACAGTAAACACTCTTTCAGCTTACATTTGTGTATGTCATCTGTTTTTAAAACATTTTCTTTAAGTTCCTAAACTACACACAAATTCTGTCCGTTCATAACTAGCGAGGTTCCACACACACCCATAGGCAACATCAACTGCAGTGTAAAATTTGTGGGGGAACAACTTTGTCCCTGCAGCAATTAAATTGTTGAAGGCTAAAGTTCTTGGCCTGAGGCTGTATGAACGTCAGATGTGTAGTATTTACAAAAAGTTTTTATTCCTTGAATGAATATAAACAAAATTCTTAAAATAAATACCACATACCTACCTCACAAGGTTGTGATTATGGGGGAAATCGGAGGAGGAAGAAGTGTTATGAATGTTTGTCACCTTACTTATAAATATAAAGGGATAAAAAAATCTAATCACAAAATAAAAATAAATATCCCTTACTCAATTTCTCGTTTCATTTGTTAACAAAAAGATCTAACTTTTAAGGTTTGAAACTGAATTTATCACAGTAACAGTCAGAAAGCAACTTCTGAAGTGTAAAATTATGACTTCTTCAGGAAGCAAAGAATCACAGAGATTAAACAGTTGGCATTCAGTGAGAAAAGTTTCAAATAAGAGATAACAGTAAGAGATAAACATGGACAAGATTTTGAATCACTTTCTTTAAAAAAAAGTGATGCCACATTTTCTATGTAAAAAAAGAGAACAACTTTCTGCATTTGGAAGATAAATTTTCCTAACTAGGCAATTTAATATTTAAATGCATGCCAGAACAATGACATTAAAACTCTTTTAGGTGTGACAATCCAGCACTTACATAATAAATTACTGAAAATGCTGAATTATATATCTCCATTTGTAAAAACAAACAAACAAAAAACCCTCTTCCATTATTCTATAACTGGACAATTAGAATGCCTTGCAAGTTTCTGAGGAATTATTATAGTATCTGAATACTCTGGAGATATCAAAATATCTGATCTATATATACTAGTATGTTCTGTTGCACAAGATGTGTATGCTTTATGTCGATTTGCCATGTAATTGTCAGTTCAATGAATTTTTGTTTAAATAAATGATAAAATAAACCTTCTCTACATGGTAAGGCAATCATACATGGGCTGAATAAATCCAGATAACAGCTGGATAGCAACAGAGACACAGAACATTCTACCTCTTTGCCGCCACCTATTGCCATCTGGATTTTTCTTACCCAGTCTAACATTGCAAATATATTTTTGTCAATATGCATAGGATTATGCTGCAAATAAAGCTATTGACGAAACTGGTTCCAACTAAACAAGCATATACTTGTTTCAAGTTGTGTTAAGTTTTTCTATAAGTAATATTTGGTCCATATATAATGATAAAAGCCCCTTTAATATACTATAGCCCAGGGATACAGTATTGACATTGGCACTAAAGAAAACATTTTCTCATAAAGCAATAATTTTGAAAAAAATCATCTTCACTCCATCAATTGTTAAAGCAAGAAGCTAACTGCAAGTTCAGAGACAGAAGATTGATACTCTTCAATGGTAACAAATATCATTTTGGAGTATACAGAAACAGATTACTTATCCTTTTAGTTCTCTAAATTAGTTACCTATAAATATACACAAATTGAAGGCTCAATGTTTAGTTTTGCTAAACAGCCAAAAGGAGGAGCAAGGACATGCAATAAGAGTGACCAGAGATGTTCAGTCAGATACGCCTATCAGCACAAGGTCTGGAAACAGGAAATCTGAGCTCATATATTCCACCCACTCAACCTTTTGTAGTTGGAAGAAGGAAGATCAGTCACCACAGAGGCCAAGAAAGAAGACCGAAGATTCAAACTCACACTATGTACATATTTTAATAACCTATTTGACTCTGCCCTATGCATATGGATAAACAACACTTAGCTATAGATGACTCAAGGAACTAAAGTGTCACAAGAGTGGTTATTACAAGTCGAATCTCAGACTTTATTATTTTTAATTCAAAAGTAGTTTGATCAGGATCATAGGCCCCATAAGTGGGATGACAAAAATTTAGTCCATCCCCATATTATTTTCTGTGTCCAAAACAAGAGTAGTTGTAGAATATAATTTTTACAGCCTTTCTTCAACTGTATTGGAACTTAAATCTAGACAATGGGCCATGAATCTGAATTCTATTTGAATCAATTGGGAAGTGAACTCCATCAAAATCTAAAAATAAGTTTCTGAACTGAACATGGGACTTGGGCTGGGACTTTTGTTGCAATAGTATGATCCTCGCTTCTTCCAAAATATGCTTTAATTGGATCTGGACTAAAAGAAAGGTCAATATGGATCTTCAATGATTTTTACATAGTATTCCGCTGAAGCTGTCATCTAACATCACATAAGATGTTTTCTAGAGAATAAATTATTACTGGGCATTCATATAGCCATTATTTTAGAGCTACGATGATGCAAGTATATGGATCCAAAGCATGGATCCTCTTCATTTTTTCAGTTTCCACCTAAACCACAGCATATAGACAAATGTCACCTGTGACCCAACAGTAGATTCCAAGAAAAAAAAATGAGACTGTCTATGATTTTATATTTTTAGATGCATCCTGACAATCTATCAAAATCCCTGCTTTAATCCCATCCTTAGGATTTATTCTTCAGATCCATATTTTTGAATTGGGGTATAAGAAATAGATGAATTCATTATTATTTCCTCTTCTATGCAAATGGAGATTTTCAGTGATTTAATAGTTCCTAGACAAAAAATAAAAATATAAAAAATATATATAAAAATAGGTGGGTTTATGTTATGTCCCTTGAATCCACATTTTAATGCACTTAAGTATAACAATAAATAAGTCTGAACTCTGATTTTTACCAGTTTCTTCATTCAGGCTATTGTGTTCTATGACTTCTCTATGGTTTTGATGGTAGAGAAAATATGTGTGTTAAAAAATCAAAATCAAATAACATAAATAAAAAAATGCAGTGCCTTAGAGCCACACTATCGAAAACTGTTGGATGTTTGATTGTTGCGAATTGTCCATAATTTGATGGTTTCAGATTTTGAGAAAAAAAAAAAGATCTGAAACAGAAAGGGTACGTGCTGATTGTTCCGATTTCCAGTTTGGTAATGCACAAAAGTTTTAGGGGGGAAAGGATGTTGTCATGTTGCTTAGTAATCTCTTTTGCTTAAATCAGATAAATTTCGGAAACGAAACCCAGGAACAGTTGCGCAATCCCTATGATTGCTGTGTCCCTGAAGGAAAACCGTCATCAGAGGAAACTTCATTCAACCTAGACTATGTCGGACACTTCGAAATCCCGGGATGTTTTAGTGCCCACTAAGAACAAAGAAAAAACTTTGCAACAAGACGAAGCCGCTCTATTCAAAAGTATATGGAACCGAATCTAATCTCGGACCTAAAAATACAGTAGTGAGCGTAATTGGGCTGTTTTATTGTGCTGCCCTTTGACAGCTGTTGCCAAATGCATCTGTCCCCATCTGCTTGGCATTCTGACCACGAGTGCGGCAATGTTTTATGACTTGAAACCCTTTAGATTCAGAATTATTGGCAGCCTAAATAAACGGCGTAGATACCCTTCAAATGGCAAAACAGCTCAGTGTTTATGAACTTGGCAACTTGTAGACGT